CGGCTTCGTCGTCTTCTCCGTGCTTGGCTTCATGGCCTCTGAGCAAGGCGTGGACATCTCCAAGGTGGCCGAGTCCGGTGAGTGCCGGGCGGCAGATGCCGACTGGCACTGTGTCCCCTGCGTCACCCCTTGAGTGGCACCCCTGACCCCGCTCTCCTGCAGGTCCCGGGCTGGCTTTCATCGCCTACCCTAAAGCTGTGACGCTGATGCCCTTGTCCCCGCTGTGGGCCACGCTCTTCTTCATCATGCTCCTTGTGCTGGGGCTGGACAGCCAGGTGCTGTGGTGGGCAGGGAGGGGGACAGGGAGAGGATGGGTGGCACGCCCCCACTGAGCCCCACTTTCTGCCACAGTTTGTCGGCGTGGAGGGTTTCATCACGGGCATCCTGGACCTGTTCCCCCAGCCAGGGGCTGGCTCGCTGCGCCGTGAGCTCACTGCTGCGCTCTGCTGCATCGTCTGCTGCCTCATTGACCTCTCCATGGTCACACAGGTGGGGAACATGGCAGGGATACTGCCCAGCCAGCCCCACACCAGGCACCTGCACCTGCTCCCAGGGTGTCACCTCTCATGGGGTCCCAGTGTTGGGTGGGAGCTCCCTGGGGCTGCTGCCCCCCCAGCAGTGGAGCTGCCCATGACATGGGGGTCCCTGTGGTGTGGGGGTGCTGTGGGAGCAGGGTGCCCATGGCGGTGCAGGGTGTCCATGTCAGGTGAAGCACCAGTGCTGGCAAGGCTGTACCAGCGCCGGTGTGGAGATGTGCCGGGCAGCTGGCACAGTACCGGTGACATGGGCGCCTTCCTGGCAGGGCGGCATGTACGTGTTCCAGCTCTTTGACAACTACTCGGCCAGCGGGATCACGCTGCTGTGGCAGGCTTTCTGGGAGTGTGTGGTCATTGCCTGGGTCTATGGTGAGGCCAAGGGTACATGGTGGGGGTGGGGACACGAGGGGACACGGGTGCCCCGCAGAGCCCTGCTGACACCCTCCTCCCTGCAGGCGCCGACCGCTTCATGGACGACGTGGCCCGTATGATCGGCTATCGGCCCCTGCCCGTCATGAAGTGGTGCTGGGCTGTGGTGACACCCCTGGTCTG